AATATGTGGAAATTGTTTCCTAAAGTATTTTCAGTTTACTTTCAATCCCTGTAGTCTTCGGATTATTATTAAATTATGATTAAATATTCGTAGAAATTTCACATTGCCTAATGTCAACAGGGCTATCATCCTCAGACATGTGAGGCACACATTTCATTCAGTGCTGCTTTAAAGGTAGAATGAGAAAATTAAATATAAATGATGTAATCATTTTCTAAAGGAAAGGTTTATGTTTACAGCTTTAAGCTTTCCCAGATTCTTTCCTGAGGACAGATCACTTGAAACCAAAACTTTAAATAACAGTTTATAAGGTTTATGTATTAAATTACTATAGGACATGACAAAATTGATTGACAAAAGTTGTAATTCCACATAGTGCAGAGAAATGGTTTGAGTAACAGATGGCAGCACTTTTAACCAGGCTTGCTTCCTCAGAAAGACGGCCCAGAATACCAGTTAAAAAAGCATTTTATAATCCACACCATCTTTATACTCCCATTTCATTTCCAAATCTTGTCCTAATTAGATAAATTGCTTGGGAAAACATCCACCTAAAAAAGTAACAGGCAGGTATTATTAAGGTATTATTAGGGTTTAACAAGCACATACATAAAGCTTAAAATTAATCTTAAGAATTTTAAACAAAGATTAAATTAAGGTGATAAGGCCAGCTGCTTGTGTACCTAGGACAGAAATTCTGGTCCTCTGTCTCCTTATCAATTTCAAAGTGGTCCTAGTTATTATATGATTATATGAACACTACCTATTAGTGTTTGAAACTCACTCTGCAGACAATTCAACTAAATCATGCAGATAGGAGTAGCACTTTTTATTTATTCATTGTTGCTGTGTCCTTTTGCGAGTGTCCATGTGATGGGAGAGGAGGAGGTGAGTGCGTCAAAGGAAAGATGTTCCTATTGTATTTGGCAGAATGTTACAGTGGGGCTGTGTGTGTTAGCCGGTATGAAATCAACTAGAGTTTGATTACTCCCCTACACTTTGCTAATACACAGTGAGACACTCGAAACTGAACTTGCAGCCTCTGAGCACCGTGACATATAATGGATTAGACCAAGGTCGTCTAAGCATGTTCATTTGTGGGATTAAATAGCAACTTCAATAAGTACCTAATGATGTGTCACAGAACTTTTCATTGGTTCTTTCCCAGATTTTAACAGTAAATGTGCACTGAAAGTGGAGGCACGAGTTTGGTCTTGGATAGAGGGAGTTTAATTCCGCTCTGTAATTTTCAGTCTGAAAACCTTGTAGGTGAGCAAGGCGTAGGTGTGCCAGTGACAAAGAACTTGCTTTTCACTTGACAGTCCCACAATGTCTGTCACCCGATGTTTCCCACCAGTCACATTCATATTATTCAAATCTTTGTAAATGTCAACAAAGCAAGCCTCTAAAGTTTGGAGCTCCATGCTTTTATTTCATTTTAAAGCCTCGACCAGATTTGTGACTGTTACACAATAACTTTATATTCAATGCCCAACCCGGGGGGACAAACATGTTAGTCAATTGAATAACTTTTTGACTGTCATATGTTGTTATTCCAACAGACGCCCAACTGGCTGTGTGTAGGACAACAAAAGGAAGTGTGAATCCAGCTTAAATCACAGTCAAACAATTAACACTGCACACACATGGAATACAATTACTTACACAATTACTTCCTTTAAGAATATAAAAATGTATTTTACTTAAAAACTCTAAGACTAACTCAATTAAATCGAGGTAGTATGTATACAAAGAAGAAGAAATGAAAACAGTTAAAAATCATAATCAATAAAATGATGCAACGATATCAAGGTCTGGCATTGATTTTGCGTTTAAGAACCACAGTTTATTTAAAAAAGTTTGGAAGTCCAGTTAGCCTTTAATTTGATTTAAAGCAACTTTTATTAAATGATTTGCTTAATCATAAATCAATAATCCTTAGATAATTGATTTTTGAACTTCTGTGATTGTTCTTGAGGGATTAGTTAAAGGGTAGGGTCCACTTAGCTTCTATAAGCTTAGCTCTTGAAATAAATGAGCTAGGAGTGAGCAGACATAAAGGGATTCATCTTGAAGTACTCTCTGGTCATATTTTGGCAGTCAACTATAATGAGTGTATCAGGAAACACATATACCTTTCATTATACCAGTGTTTAAGCCTTTATTGAAATAAAGGTTTAAACACTGATAAACCTTAGAAAATCTTCATGGTGACACAGCGGTGCTCTTAAAAAGGTTATTGAAAGTTTAATATAATGATGAACTTAATTGGAGTTTAATGCAAAAAGTCTGGTAGCAGGCTTTATGTAGAAGATGATGGCTGAACCAGCTGGCGATAGTCTGAAGAGGCTGGTAGTTGGCTTGAGAAATCATGAAGGATGATGGCAGGTTTTGAGCAAGATGATTGCCGGAAAGACTGGTGCCAGGAAGAGATAGTCCAGGACAAGTATCCAGTGAGGGCAGGTTGTGGACGAAGGCAATGGAGGGAATAACCAGTGAGAGCAGGGCAGGCACAGGAATATAGTAAGGCAGGCGATGCACGCTATCAATCGAACTAAGGTTATGTAGGTAAATAGACAATTAGGCAGAGACTAACAGAGAGAGGCAGGTTTTAATAGGTATCACCACAGCTGGGGGGCAATGAGGGTGATTAGTAGAAAGGCAGGTGAATCTGCTCACTCCAATTAACAAAGCATACCAATACAGCAGATCAGAGAAATGCAAGCAGCCAGCCAACCTATAAAACAATCATATAGAGGTACACTCCATGAGAGTTTGTACAGATTTCACAAATGATAACATTTAAAACAAGTGGGAGCAGATGGTGTGTTTAGGAAATATAAGAAAACTCATGAACAGTTGTTTTAGTAATCTACTGATGAACAGTCTGTCATGGTGTAGATCTGTGATTTCCTCTCATATCTACCCACAGTTTCCAAATATTTTCACAAAGGATTTATTGAATTTTTATCACAGTTTGGCTGCTGGCTCATTTTTAATGGAGATTTATACAAAGTGTTTAATAATGCTTTATATTATTAATAGGGATGCACGATATAATCTGCCCCCTATCGGTGTCGGCCTGTATCGGCCTTAAAACTGAATATCCAACGATATTTAACCGGATATTTGATCAGCTTCTGAGTTTCTAAAGTCTAAAAAAAAAAAAAAAAACTACTTCTTCTTCTTCCTCAAAAACTTATTTTTTACAGACTTAAAAACTTCTAAAGACGAGGGAAAAATATTGATACATTAAAATATCGCAATATCTTCATATGCTGATATATTGTCATTCAAAAACACCATATCAATCTCTTTGACTAATGAAATATTGCTATATGTCATCGTTATGCTACGAAATCCCCCGAAAATTCAGGAAATTTTGCCATATTTTTATATATCGATATATTGACGTGGTATCGATCGATTTTACTAACAAAATCTCACAAGATTTTGCAAAATATCACGGGAGTTTGTAACAGAACGATGAAATTTCACGATATTTTGGAAGTAAAATAGATCGATACCGTGTTTTTAAAAATCAATTTGATATCAGCATATGAAAATATATTTGAGTATATTATTTTTCAAAGTGTCAGAAATGGATAACAAAACTGCTATTTTCAATGACTACTTATTTTTGTCCAGCTTTAACATCGGTATCGATATCGGTTATCGGCTACATGAGTTTTAAAATATCGGCATATCGGATATCGGCCAAAATCCCAATATCGTGCATCCCTAAATATTAATAAGGATTTGCCATCCTGATGGTTTGAATTCTGACATATGAATGAAAAATCCTACAGCTGAAGGTTTATAATATATGTGCAATTGTTCAGAATTAACTAAGGAGAACAAAAAGCAAGGATAAAAAAATTGTGTTCATTTCGGGGTTAAGGTTCTATATTACACTTAACATTAGGGTTGGTTGGTGTGTGTGTGTGAGGGGGGATATTTTCAGTATCTTTGGTCATCAGCAGAATTGAAGCATAGACACTTTAATTAACTGATCCAACAGGAAATCTGCAGTATTCATCAAACAAGTTTATACTGTATGCTACAAGGCATGGTAGCCCAAAATTCTATTGGTACTTTAGACAGCACTGTGTTTCTGGAGAAAGGATTTCAAGAAAACCAACACGTGATAGAACTTGCATGCAAAGAGAAAATCAGTCAAAGCATGGAAATTGACAGATGCTGCTTGTTTTGTAGTAGCTACAGTTTCACAGCTTGTTTTTTTCCATGTCTTGTTACACAAACAAGCATGATTAGGTTGCTATCTCGGGGAAAATGGATAATAGTCTGGCTCATGGTTCGCTGCAGACAGGAAATAAGTCCTGTGATTGCACTGACATGCTCTTGGGCTACCGCTCTTCCTCAGTACAGCAACAGCTCTATATATGCTCTATATATCTGTCAAAGTGGAACATGCAGAGACCAACTAAATTTCATTGCACTGGTCTATAGAAGTTAAGAGTTAGTACCACTGATTTTTTCCTGTTTGACTCTAATACTTTGTGTTTTGTTCAGGTTCATCTTGGTGTTCAGCTGCCTGGTCCTTTCTGTCTTCACAACCATCCCCAATCATAAGGACTTCTCCTCAAGCTGCCTGCTAATTCTGGTAGGAAACTTTGAAGCTAAAGAATTCTGTTTAATTCCTCCCAATCCTGTCACCTACTTGATCGGTGAACTAAATGGAGCAAGATAATAACCATTACTGAAGACTCATCTCTTTTCTCTGATACCCACATCCCTGCTGCCCTATTTGAGCCTGTGGACCAGAAATCTCTGTCAGCAAAGCTTTCTTTAAAGATATCTAAAGTGTGGTGCAAGTTCACGATGGGTTCAGAAATTTATGCTCTTACATATGGAGAGACACCTTGCAATATTAGCTTGTTCAGTCCTTACCTTTTTTTTTGTGCAACTGGAGTCCTTTTGACATTCACAAGGGTTGAACTTACTGCCCACAGGAGCTAGGTTTTAGATTTGTTTATATTTTGTTTGGTTCATATTTTTTAATCTGTAAAATTTTCTCTACGGTATTTCCTTTTGTATTTTTGAGCAATAAAGTTGCAACCGTTGCCACGGTACTGCTAAGCAAGACCATGGACTTTAGGCTTATCAATCTCACAAATCTAAATAGTAATGAAGTGCTTGGTAAGGAGACTGCAAGTTGAACTCAGGTGTACCTCAGAACAGGAGTAAAATCTGACCTAATGAAACACAAAAACAAGGAAATTATGCCAAAGCTTTGCAGTTTTAGTTCATATAGACCATAATTGAATGATTTAAATGGGGAAAGAAAGAAGGTGTATGTCCCATTTAGGAAAAAGATATGATAATAGGACCAAACGTGCGCTTTTATTCTAGATCACCCCAATGAGAGTTATTTATTGCCATTTAATCTGTTTAGTAGAACAAATATATACTTGTGCCGTGTACCTATACCCTTAAGGTAAAATTTGGATCCTGAGATGGCATCTAATGGTTGCCCCGATTTCAAATTCTGAAACCTATGCTATTTGGTACTTAATTCACCCAGTGATCATGCTAACTATTAAAAATACATACTAATAGAAATGTAGTTCTTTGTATGTATTCATTATGCACTGTTGAAACATTTCACTGAAATGTATTTTGCAACTAACTTAATGGAAATAGTTTTTTTCCATGAAAAACATTTGTACACAAGGTGGAGACCAACCTGTGAAGCCATTTATAAGAAAGCATACTGTTGAACAAACTGTACTTTTTTAGGAGACCTGAGTCAGGAGAGAGGAAACCTTTCTCACATAAGCTGTTACGTATACTTAAGGTACGACCTGGTTCTTAAGTATAATAAGATCAGTGTAAATGCAGGTGCATGCAAGTCTATAGGTATCAGTAAGACAATGAGAGTGGTGCAGTAAAGTGTTGAAGTTGAGTTCCATGTGTAAACATAAAGAGAAGAGGTTATGAGGCAAACGGGGCCAAGCCCAGCACAGGAGCCATCCGTGGCAGTGGAGCCCAGCAGAAGAAGAGGAGAGCGAGAGAGAGAGAATGCAGCCATGGCAAATGATTTATAGATGCTCAAAGACGTGTAAAATGATTCCAGCACTCCAAAAGACCTCCGTCTCCTCAGTAGGAAGAGTCTGCTCTGACCTTTCTTATACAGAGCCTCAGTGTTATGAGTCCTGTCCAGTTTGTTATTCAGATGAACACCTAGGTACTTATAAGAGTCCACTATCTCAATGTCCGTTCCCTGGAATTTCACAGGTGTCAGTGGGGTGGAGCTGCTTCTGCGAAGGTCCACCAGTAGCTCCTTGGTTTTCCCTGCATTAATCAGAAGGTGGTTCTGTTGGCACCGATTTACAAAGTCCTGAGTCTACTATTTATACTCTGAGTCGTCCCCAACTGTGATGAGGCCAGCTATGGCAGAACTGTCAAAGAACTTCTAGAGGTGGAAGCATGGGGAGTCGATGGAAAAGTCTGCATTGTAAAGGGTTAAGAGGAATGCAGAGTATAGCACAGAAGAGCATTAGATTATTTTTTTCCTAGAAAGATAAGCAGTATTATTGGATATCTAGGTGTTACTGAATAGCTATTTAAGCTTAGTAAAAGATCAGGGAGACAAAAATGTAATAAAGGTTTTTATTTAGCTAATTCCAACATTCAAGCGAGCAGGGCGGAGTTGTGAATTATGCTCAGAAACACAGCATTTTTATAGAGCTGGAGGGTACAGGGACACCTTAAATCATAAAAAAAAAAAAGGTTTGGATCCCCACATGCCGCTAATTGAGGGCAGTCACAGTTTTTAAATTGTTGGTTAGCTTATGTTTTTTTGTATTATTTATATAACATACAGAGTTAAAGAAACTTGAGTCATATTGTAATGCTGTTTTAGGGTTTCTACCAAGATGATATGGTTAAACCTTGCTAATGATGGATAACTAAAAAGTTTAAAATCTCCTGATCTACATAATGCCTGAAGGTGAGATATGAAATACTGGTAAATTAAGGAAATTTATATAAATAGAGATACAATGAGTTTGTATCATGATAAATTGTTTATTACAAACAACAAAAAAACATATCTGATTAACGTTTGTGTTTATTTCTCCTGATTATCATTTGGATTTTCTGTTACGCAAAGTTATGACTGTAGAATATGGCCTAGCTGAATGAATACTAACAAAGTAAGCACTTTTTAAGACAGTCATCAAGGTTAAGAGTTAAATAAATCTTAGATTTGTGCATTTGCACCTGATTCATTTTAGCCTTTACCCTCAAACCATGAAATGTACAGTACCTGCTGTACTGTAAGTACTCGTAACACCAAGTGGAGTTCAAAGATCCTTTAAGAAAGTGATTCGGTATGGACTAGTGGGCACAAGAGCAAAAATGCTTTTAAAAGTTTCCTAATGTGACTTTTTTGTGTGTTTTTTCTCTTTTGAAAAGCCTCTAACAGAAAGGAAAAGGTCACTGCATCAATTCCTGCACACAATTGCCCCTGCAGCTGTCGCTACCATTTCACAAAGTGCAGCCCACTAATTACATCAGTGTTACATCTAATGGAAGCAAAAGCAGTATGTGTGCATTAACAGAGACCCTACCTCAGTCATTATTTGACGAAGAGCTTCAGCACCTGGTGACAAACAATAAGCCAATAATGAGGCAGAATATGTGAAGAATCTACAAGAAATAGATACTGGAACTGTATCTGGAACTGGAAATGTATATATGTTTCTAATAAACTAAACGTCACAAGCCTTTTCAAAGGAAACTAACACGTTGGTGTTAGAATAACCTGTTAATGGCAGCCTGCCTAAACCTGTGTAGAGATTCATAAACATGGCGAAATAACTTTCACGAGTTTGTAGAGGATTCTGTTGTGGGCATTATTGGCAGTCTTGCTGAGGCTTATATTTTCTTTATATTGATATCAAAATTATATTGTGTGTAACAAAATTAAGAAATATATTGTGATATTGTCAAAGTTTGAAGAAGGACCCCAATATGCAGAGGCGGAGACTGGTTCTTGCAGATTTATTGAGATGATTGCAGCAGACAACAAATGGTAAACAGGCAAGCAACAAAGGACAATAGCAGAGAGTAATATGAGAGTTGCATTTGGATTTTTTTATGGGTGAGTCAAAACTAATGTTTTCTCAAGCCGTTTATCTAATTAGGACAGTTCCTCTGTCAGTATATACAATTATAATGTTCATTATGTACATAACAGAGATTTGGAAATGAAATGGGGGCACAGACAGAGTGGATCTTTCTTAACAGCGAGTTTCTTTATCTGCCTTTATCTGGGACACTGAGTAATAGTTTGATCTGACTGGAGCCAGGGATCCAGACATTTACAAAAGTGTATGATGTAATGATGTATTGTGATGATGTGGCAGGGTGTGACACTGGAGTTGTATAAAATGCTTTTTTTAACTGTGATTCAGGGCAGACTTCCTGTAGAACTGACCCCGTTGGTAAGCGCTGCTATCTCTAACACAAGTAATTTATCCGGTATGAGTAAGATTACCTTTTATGGAAAAAAAAAAGACTTAGACTGTAGACTTAGAAATTTTGTCATTTTGTGTACACGAATGTAAACAAAAAGAAATTTCATTTAAAACAGCTTTAGACAATTAAATTTTTTAAAGTGCAGCCTTGAAAAACATTACATACATGAAAAATTGTAATATATATGTATGACTGTATATTTTCAGTTCAAACATTAATTTTATTATAAAAAGAAAAAAAAAAACAACAACTGTTTTCTCACCCCTCGTGGGGTGGTATGTGTCATCCTCAAGCTCGGGTCCTCTACCAGAGGCCTGGGAGTTTGAGGGTTCTGCGCAGTATCTTAGCTGTTCCTAGGACTGAGCTCTTCTGGACAGAGACCTCTGATGTTTTACCTGGAATCTGCTGTAGCCACTCTCCCAGTTTGGGGGTCACAGCCCCCAGTGCTCCAATTTCCAGAGGGCAGCAGGGAGAACAGTCCATGGTGGGGGTGTGAGGGGTCATTTATGATGTCATGCCGCACTGGGATGAAATGTCTTTAATGGAGGGAAGAGGACCTCCGATGATCTTCTCTGCTGTTCTTACTACTCTTCTCACCTCCTTCCAGTCTGAGGCGCTGCAGCCTCCACACCACACAGTTGTTGTCATGTCTCATTGTTATTTAATACACACACATACATTGTAAAGTGTTAGAGTGTTTGTCCAGAGTTATATCCTGATTATATCAGAGTTATATATTATATAACTATATTACATCAGAGTTATATCGTCTCAGGAAAGAATCGGGGAACGCAAGCTTAAAGATGTTAACACATACCTTTCCTTTTACAGATGACTTATAGGAGGTAATAAAGAGAATCCAGCAATGAGCAACTGCAGAGAAGGAGTTAATATACCGGGAAGGGGAATACTGAACAATGCATGGAGTAACTGACTAAAGGGAGCAGGTGTGGGAAGAAAAAGCTGAAAGAGAACTGAGGGGAAAGAAGAGTAGCATTGTAGGTAACAGAGAGCAACCGGAAAATATAACAGGGCCTATAAGTAACTGGAATAAACTTTGATGACACAAAAAGGAAATGAAACTAATAAATAAGAACAGAAAAAACAGAATGAGCAAGTTAAAACTAGATGACAGGGAGAAGACTGGAAAAACTGGGACAACTATAATGCCATAGGAATAAAGACTAAATAAATTACAAGAATACATAATAAGACATAACTGAAAAAATCCCAAGGAAGAGTTAAACTAAGAAGTAAATAAAACATGATAAATCAAAATGAAAACCCAGAATAAAAATAATTCTAAGGGTAACAATATAAACCCTAATAAAACAAATCTCCAAACCCAGGAGGACTGTGGTAAAATAAGATTCGACACGGGATGCTAAAAGGAAAAAGAAACAGAAAAACATAAACCACTAAAACACAAAAGGTCAAACATAAACACAACAAATGTCCAGAGTAGCAGAACATGACAAATATAAGTTTTGGGCATATCATCCAGCCATAAAAAAAAAATAAATAAAAATAACACGTTTAGCCATATTTGAAATACCTTATTCTATTTTGCATGTGCTTAGACTCTCCATAAACTGAATATCTCAGTGGGCCAGAAAAACATAACTGCTATTAAATCAGGACCAGGTGGACACAAGCAAACAGCAAATCAGCTGACATACTGTAACTCATTTTGAAATGACCCACTGATGATGCAGACTAAAAACTGGTTCTCATGCTGTGATGGGACTTTAAGAAAACTTTGCGGATTAATGTCTTTAAACCATAGGCAAAAAAAAAAAGGAAGATAAAATAGATAAACCAATATTCCTGGTAAGTACTATTGGTCATTTTTATGGAACGTTTTGAGATTTCTCTGCTGTGTGTCTTTTTTTGTGTGTGCGTTAATTTTAAATTGTTAAAGTTCAATAGACCGTACTTTGCATTGCTTGTTCAAAGTTGAAAATTTTTGAGATCTCATATTTTATCAGTTGTTTCAGAAGGACATGCACTGGTCTCTTATCTTGCAGCCAGGTGCCTTTACAGTATTGGTATTCTTTTGTAAACCTGCTATAGGCATAGATTACAATCTTCCTCCCACAATAAAACAAGTGCTTCCTAAACTATCACATGTAGCTTTCTCCCATTTATACCCTCTGTTTGTGTCTTTTTACACAGGAATGTGTAATGATTGTGGTGTTTGGTTTGGAGTACATCATCCGCATCTGGTCAGCAGGATGTTGCTGCCGCTACAGAGGATGGCAGGGTCGGCTGCGTTTTGCAAGGAAGCCCTTCTGCGTCATAGGTGAGTTTAACCTCTCCATCACCCTGGTCTTATCTCTTCTATGACAGAGCGCACTTTCTCTTTCTGAGTTTAGTCTCTCAGCACTCTATAATGACCATGGTTTGCTGATTTCATTTTCAGCTGTGGTAAGAGCTTTAAAGGCAGGAAGTCTTTTGCAAAGACGTGGCATTAGCTGTATTTTACCCTTTCCAATGTTTATACTTGGATCTTTCTGCTTGGAAAGTACAGTCAGGAGATCTGGCCAGGCAAGAGGGCACAGGGTTTGTGCTGCCCCCTCAGCTGTATTGCTAAGGGGGTATTTAGCAAAACATCAAGCACACTATGCAAGATAGAAGTTCTAGTTAAGGGAAAGGGAGAGGATGAATGGGACACTGCATCAAAATGGTGAAGTAATGATTTGAAACTTTCTACAAGGTTGTTAACAATTGTTTTATTGTAGATTCTGTGTTTTTTTTATTATAAAATATGTTTTCATGTAAAACTTTTATGCATTCAAAAATAAAGACTCCGACCACCATATTTTCATTATTTAATTTTGTTTTTTTTTATGAAGTTTAGGTGCAAATTTAATTGGGAAGACTCTCTCACCTGCCCACAAATTGCCTCCTTATGCAGCCTAAGGCCACAGCCTTTCATTGGTCAGGACTGTATTAAAGATCAAAGTCTGATGCTCTCACTTCCAGCCAAGCTAGAAACCTCCTCTGTCCATTCTACACTTTCATCTCCAGACATCAGCAATAGAGTGAAGATCCTTGTGCTATTGTGTTTTTGCTGAGTTCATATGGCAAATACTGTGACACAAGTGAGAAACCGCATTTTAATATAAATCTTTGATTAGCCACTGAGCCTTCCTAATGAGTTCAGAACCAGTATGCGCCAAGTGATCGACTTATTAATCTTAATTTTTGTGAATTTGATGTAATATTTTCATTTGGGTGTACAAATAGACTGGCAGTGCTAATGTTCACAAACTGCTATAAAAAATCTCAAATGTAACACAAAAACACTCATTTTATCTACCGGTACTCATAGTCCCATTTAAAAAGAGTTGTTTTTTGTTTATGTTTTGTTTTTTATAATAATTTTCTCTACCCTCTTTCCCCTCTGCCTCCACAAGACATCATAGTGCTGATAGCATCAGTGGCGGTGGTATCAGCAGGTAGCCAGAGCAACATGTTTGCCACCTCAGTCCTCCGGAGCCTGCGCTTCCTGCAGATCCTTCGGATGGTCCGGATGGACCGAAGAGGCGGCACCTGGAAGCTGCTGGGTTCTGTTGTGTATGCCCACAGCAAGGTTAGACTAAAAACTGCTATAATCACCAGAATTTCCCCATTGTGGGACAATAAAGGAATTCTATTCTATTCTATTCTATTCTATTCTATTCTATTCTATTCTATTCTATTCTATTCTATTCTATTTTAAACCACATGGAAAATCACCCTAGACTGACTGCTGGTCCAGCTTAGATTTGACAGCTGTGTGACAAAACAGATCAAGACCAACTGCTAGATAAAATTAAACATTATAGAAAAAAGCAATAATTATATATTAAAAAAATATATACTTTTTTGTATTTTATTTAGATGGGAATCTATTTCAACTGTAATAGTTTGTCGTTAACACACCATTAATTATGATGTGTTATGCTGAAAAGTATAGAATCAGTGTTTATTAGTTTATTTATTAGTTTATTAGTCATGAATATTCAGTAATATGTGAATTTCTCATCCTGAAACTTTTTTTATATATAAAAATTATTTAAAAAAAACATGTTTAAGGGAACATATCCACACCATTCAACAACCCACTGTAAAAGAACCAGTTTTAGAAAAGAAAGCGCATTGTCTTACAAGGAATAGAAAAATGATGTATCCATAACATTTTAGTGAAAACATAGTGATCCAGTTACTTTGTTCTTGTTTTTCTGTTCCAATTTCTGAAACCTCTTGCTCTCTTTTCTTTGAATCTTTGCTAATGCTCTGCTTTCACTTGCAGCTGCCCACACAGACATATTCTCTTTTACTTCTACAGTACCTGTAGAAACCACAGCAGGTCATTTCTGCTTTTCTTTGCTTCTTTTAAAGATGAAATCTTTTGTCTATTCCTACATTTCTCGGTGGGAAAGCTTCTGGCCAGCTATGTTTCCAGTGCATCTTTAAACAGAAAACACAACTCCTTAAAAATTGTGACATGGGGGCTTTTCTGTACTGGTGTCTAGAATAGAGGTAGCCACACAAATATTTATGTTTTTACCATTTAGCTGCAGATAAAGTAATTATAGCCCTCTTCTCCCGCAAAGCATTGGGATTAAAAACCCCAGGGCTTTTTTTCCCTCAGGGAATTATAGGCTGGCAACCCAGACTGACACACACCATGTGTATTCAATACACAGCTTGTCAGTCACGGCAGGCTTAGACTATACAGTCTAAAAGCTCCTGGGTCAATCCCTGCACCGAAAGCAGGAGTTTCCAATGTGTCACCATAATTACCCATAATGCAATGGAGCAATGTTTTAATGATGCCTTTCATTATATCCAGAATAAGATAAATATATACTTATATTAACCTCATGCTCTAAAGGCTATTCTTTTTTTTTTCTTAAAGACATTTTTGCTTCACATCTGTAGTTATCTGATTGAATGAAAACCTAGAGACCCTATACAGTAAGTCCCGTCTTTAAAGTCGGGCTTTTCAGACTGATATGCCATGTTTGAAATTTAATTGAAAGGATAACCTGTTGGGATGAGAAAAACAACAATTATACAGAAGACAGAAATATAATCCACAAAGCGCAAGCAGATTGCAGTACATGAACCAATAAATCAAAGGAGTACAGTATACACATTAACATGGACACATTTAAATAGCAAGTAGGCAAACTGAATACACCAAAAATGGTTTCAATTATAATTCAAAATAAGCAGCATCTGGTAAGAATACATCCATATCAGAAAAGAAAAAGTTGTTTGTAAGTGAATGAATATAGCTCTCCTAAAGATCTGTAGAGACATAATAGATCTAATTAGAACAGGTTTGCTCCAGTTTGCTCCAGTCTAATGGAGCTTTGAATGTAAATGCTCAACAATCATTTTTTTATTGACTACGGGAACACAGTAAAACTGATGCTTGGTATACCTCAGATTATATAAGGACCTAAATGGAACTAAAATAGTTTTAGTGTCATTCTCTAGCTGTCTGAGGGAAATTATAAGAGGTGGTGAGTCAAGTCTGAAAATAAACTTTCACTTAAGTTGCTTATAGATGACTTTTGACTCAACTTAGACCTTTGTTTTTACTTAGGATTCTACAAACTCTCTTGCTGTAAAGACATAAGAATTAACTTAGACCAGTAGTCTCAGATTTCAGTTCCCTGAACAATGTTAGCCATTAATATGTGAGGGATTGCTTACGAGTCAATGAGTCAACGCAATCAGCTGGTTTTCCTTAGAAAACTTTCAATCAATCTGTATAATCTGTTTGAATTGCCTCAGTAAAGTGCCTTGAGACAACATGTGTTTTGAATTGACGCTATATAAATAAACTAAATTCGATTGAAATTTAGGTGAAAGTAAACTTGTCAGTACACCACAGACAGAAGTTCTGATAGTCAAACATATTCTCCTCTTTATTCATTCATAGGTTCTAGATAAGCTTTCATCATTTTAAATACAAACACTTCAAAATGTTCATAAAATAAAAGCATCTCAGGTTATCCTTGATTTAGTTACTACAATATAATGTGCTCTACTTCTTATTTTGCACTTCAAAACCTGCAGTAAGGCATGTGTATTGTTTAGACTGAATAGGGAAGGTTTTATATGTGAGTTTGAAATCTCCTAATAATAATTAATACTCCATCTTGGTGACATGCAGTCTTCAAAGCTAACCTAGTGAACCATATAGTAAAGGACTGTATACTTAATTTGCTTATCATTTGTCTTACATGTGATAACTACAATATGTCATTAAACACTTATGTTTTTTTTTTTTTGTTTTTTTATAAAAGCATTCCTTGTTTTATTTATTCAGAGGTTTATGTCAAAGACATCTGTTTGCAGGGTTTATTTCCATCTCAAATAATTCTCTGCTGCTCATATCAGTTTATTTCATATTACTGTAAATAGAATTTATATAGAACATGTAAAAAGTTATCATTAGTTAAATGTTGTTTTATTAAATGAGATAATTAGTTATGGGAGATTTTAGACATACTGTAGATTTGGAAAAAAAATTTCATCTCTGGTTTTCAAGCTTAATAAAATGATGTATAAAGTGGAGGCAAAGGGCTTACCTTAAAAGACGAGAAAGGATCTTTACTCTTAAAGGAATGTTTGTTATTTTCGCTCATCTAAAATAACTGCATCATCTGATTTGTTTACTACAGGAGCTGGTAACTGCTTGGTACATCGGCTTGTTGGTTCTGATATTCTCTTCATTCCTCGTCTACCTTGTGGAGAACAAGTCCAACGACCAGTTTACTACCTATGCTGATGCTTTGTGGTGGGGCACGGTGAGCTTAGTGACATTTGTTGACAAAGCCAATATTAAAAATAAAAGTTTGTAACAGATCTGAGTATTACCCTAAGAAATCAATGGAATTGAACAGTGAAGTTTACAGTGAAGATTTCTGAATTTTGTTACTGCTCATGATGCTTAATCTCTTAATTTTCACTTATGTAATTTGTCTTTGACCAAAGAAAACTGCTATAGGAATTAACCATTCACTTCTATATCAAATAACACTTTTCTTAAATAAAGTATTCATAATGGCAAATGTGGCTTCTTCATTCATGGCAGCTATTGCCTCAACAGAACAAACTACACAGTCTGAAAACATTCAGATAAAATAACATCCGTACATGGTGTAAACTGTGTCTGTCTCTCTATTGGTCAATCTGAGATGATGAAATTTACAGCAGCAAGAAAGTTATTCTTCAATAATTAAACTGCTTCAAATTGTTAAGGGTAATTTGCATTTACATTATGAAACACTAAGTCAATATTATGAAGATTAGTTCCTGTCTTGTACCACAGATCACCCTGACAACTATCGGCTATGGAGACAAAACACCAAAGACCTGGACAGGAAGGCTGCTGTCTGCGGTGTTTGCCCTCCTGGGCATCTCTTTCTTTGCCTTGCCTGCAGTGAGTACATTCTCTCTCAGTGACTTCTTTTTTTAATGCATTTGTTTGTATTTACATTTCCCCTTTACTATAACCTGACATTTGGATTTGTATATAATTAGACAATTAATACAGCTGAAAATTAAACAGCAAAGCTTTTATTCTAACATTAAAGTTTGTATGAGGAGATTTGACCTGCTGAAATCATGGTAAAATCCAATATCTGTACTTTCACCCGAAAAACTAAAATATGAATCTACAGGGCATGCCTTTTTCTGTGGAGGTTAAAACATTTTACATTGATGCGCTACATGTTTGACATAAGGCAAGGCAAGGTCAACTTATTTAAGTAGCACATCTCAGCAACAAGAATATTCAAAATGCTGTACATGAATGAACAAAACCTAATCGGAAAAAGCAGAAAAAGCGACATTACAGTGGCATAGTATAACAAAAGTGAGTATTAATGATCAATAGAATAAAAACTGAAATGAGGAAATGATTATGAAAATGTAAGAATGAAATTATTTTCAATAAAATAATTTATAACATAAGGGAGAAGATAAAATAATGATTTGACTGAATGCAGGTAAGGGAAGTTAGACTTTAAACTCAAACAATACTCAAAGGACTGTGAACAACTGCATTTTTAACTTTGGGTTTCAGCAATTTTAGTCTCTATTTTATCCAGATTAGTAAAGCTAAAGTTTAGAACTATAATGTGTTCATTTGTTTCTCCCTGCTTGGTTCTTTCTGTGTATTCAGAGTAGATTTGTCACAGAAGACCTCAGAGGACTGGGAGGTTAATACACAGCAAGTGTGAAATGTATTTCGGTGCTAACTAAGCCGTTCAGCAATTTATAAACTAACAGAAGTATTTAAAAGGGTTTTCCCTTAAAAGGGAAATCAGTGGAACAACTTTAAAATGTGCTTAATGTGCTACACTTTCTTAGTTACAGTGAGGATGCAGGCAACAGCATTCTGGATCAGCTACAGCTGTCTAATTGAGTTTTTAGGCACTTTGCTTTCTGCTTGGTGTTGGAATACATGTAGTAATGGATAAAATAAAGAACATCTTTAAATTCTGATATTTTAAATATTTTAGTGGGTCTAGGGTTCTTGGGTTACCTTGTTTTCTTTCAATTGTGGCTTCATTCTTGTTTAACGATATTGGATTTCCTGATTATGCACACTTTGGGTCTGATCGTTTATGCAATCCATTAAAACTCCTTACTTTTTAAACTGGCTAAATTTTAAACAAAACACTATGTGGGTTTATATTACAGAAAACCAACTAATGCATTTCTCATCAGGGTATTTTGGGCTCAGGCTTTGCTCTGAAGGTGCAGGAGCAGCACAGACAGAAGCACTTTGAGAAGAGGAGGAACCCTGCAGCCTACCTCATTCAGGTAAAGCTGATTATCCTTTGGTTGTTACATTAATGTATTGAAAGTAGCAGTACTTCTAAACAGAACCCTTCACTGTGTGTTTGTTTTTAACCAATGAGGTTCCCTGTAGTAGAACAAACAGCAGCAAACCTAAACATGGAGCAGTAGTGGTAGCGGTCTACCAGACCATGTATAAAGTTGTAAATACCAGTTGTATGAAGTGAATCTACTTTAATAAAAGCTTGTGGAGTAATAACAGCTGTAGCACTAGACCTGACCCAGCACTTGAACTGCTTTGGTTAAAAGGGTGTAGATGTTTAACTTTCTGTGCTAAAGTATTCAAACCCCTTAAACCTACACATGTTACATTACGGCATCAAACTTACGTGCATTTATTGGGATGTTATGTGATAGATCAATGCAGAGTATTTGTCATTAGTGGTAAATGGAATAAAGACAATAATATTAATAAAAAAAAGTATTCAGTTCCTTTGACTCTCTGTTTGACTCACTCCAGCTGCACAACCGAAAAACAGACTTGCCAGATTTAACTATATGAGAATCAGAATAAGAAATACTTTAATAATCCCAGAGGATCTAAATAAAATGGAACAATAATTCATGACTCAGAATATGGTCAGAAAACGTTTAAATTGCTAGATTTTATTTTTTCGAAGTTGCTATTTTCCTTTCACTTCATTATTTCTGATTACTTTGAGCTGCTGTATCATAAGTCCCAATAAAATACATTGGAGATTTTGCTTGTGAAGTGACAATTTAAGAAAACAAAGGGTTTTGACAAGACTTTATTTAAATATTCATTTTTGAAAAATAATGAATAACCCCATTTATTATTTTTTCATCAGTTTCTCTTTTTCCATCCTGGAACCTCTGAAGCAGGACAATAATGTCTAGCCCTCATCCTCACCCTATGGTTGCCCCTTTAATCAAATTTTGTTTTTGTATTCCCAGATGCTTCCATAAGTCTCCTGTCTTCTTCCTTTTACTTCTTATTTTCTTCCATGCACCTCCACAAGCTTGATTCTCTTTTTTTCAACCACTGTTGCTCATTCATCTGCTCCTCTTCATCTTGTGCATCTGAATGTTTAACCAGGCTGCGTGGCGTTATTACTCCACCGACAGCATAAGGCCCTACCTGGATGCCACATGGCAGCACTATGAGAGCCTCCTGCCACTCCACAGGCATGTATCCATGCCTGACCTCCACCAAACCGCGGACGTGTGATACTGTACATGTTTTATTTTTTTGCATTTCCAATAATCTTTTGTTCTTATTTGTTTAATCATTGTCTTCGTCCTTTTTGCCCTTTTCCTTCTGGTGCCATCTTTGGTCCTGTTTTACTTGTTGGTTTGTTTGTTTTTTTGCTTTATATTTAACTGGGTTTTTGGGGGGTGTTCTGTTTGTATTCTGCATGCAGTGTGTTTGGCGTAGTTATTCGGCTGATGAGAACTCAGTTTCCGTTGCTACCTGGAAGCCTCACTTAAAGGCGTTGCACACCTGCAGCCCTACGAAGTAGGTACAACTATGGCAGGTGATGTCTATATTTGTTGTTTTTGTTACACTGTCTCTTAGATCGCAGATTTAGGCTTATTCAATTTTGTTGCTGTTTAACTGTTGTGTTAAATTTTTGCTTCATTATGTTTATTTATGCATATCCACACATGCTATTTTCATGTTTTAAAAATCCTATGAAATATAATTCCTTTATTTTATCACTATAATGTAAAACTTTACTTAAAGAAAAACTACATTCCAACAAATTTGCTGTGCACTGCTTATTTGTACCTCTTATATGACCTGTTTATGCCAACAGCACAGTAATGTCTATTTCTATAACATTACTAAATGACCATTTTGTAAAAACAAAAAAAAAATTAAGTTTTGTTTAAGAAAGTAATCTAAAGAAAAAAACTCGCTCATGAACAGTGAACCACCGTACCTGTCACTAGGTGCAGAAGTCTGACTAAACATTTCCTGAACATGGCAGAAAACACCTGATTTCAGTGATTGCTGCTCAGCTAAATTTTGATTCCAACAGGCTTGTTTAATATGTATTACTGTGATAGATATTACTGTGTATCTATCACATAATAGATAGAAAGATAAATGGAGAAAGAAAGAGAGAGAAAAAAATGTGTAGAACTATCCAAAAAGCATAGGTTAAACTTAAAAAAAAGCAAACGTAAGTATCTTTCTCTTCTTGGAAGCACATTTTTAGTTTCCCTTGAATGTTTGCATGCAGTAGTGAGTGTTTTACTAAGTTTCTTTCTCTGAAATGCATGCCAGTAATCAGTGATGCTTACCCTAAATTATGAGCACTTGTGAAAGCAGTGATTGCTGGAACAGTGCTGATTCTAAGAAACACGCGGGTGTTTTTGCAAGTTTTAGATTATTTCAACAATACATAAATCAGTGCCATAGTTTACCGCTATACTTTTTTTTTTTTTTATATATATATATATATATATATATAATCAGTTATCACAGCTCTAAACACCTGCTAATTTACATCAATTTTAGCAGTTTGAGCTCCCGACAAATATAAGGCACCATCTAAGGTCACTTACATAACACGAAGCTTTTGGATGCACTTAGTATTGTATTTAGATTTAAGTGTTGCATCCAGCAACTGGGTAGCTTAACTATAATTTTATGTCCCTTTGATAGATAATACAGGTGTGTATGTATACAGTTTGTGATCGGAACTTCAGCTAAGCCCAACTTCTATAGATCGTTTTAAAACCTGACATAATAATAATAATGTCAGGTTGTCCACAGTAGAGAAGAACCCAAAGTGCTAAGGTTCAATATATGTTATTAATTTTGAAAAAGGAAAAAAAAAAATAAAAAACTTCCCTGGATACATATACTGGCTGAAATATTTCCATACTCTAAGAACATAAAGTTGCTCATTGATACTAAAGCATAACCAGCTTTTATTGAAACTTCTTTCATTTAGAAGTTAAAGCTTAAACATGCAAAAACACCTACTATATATTTCATTTTAAGCTGTTTTTATTATTATTGCTACTGTTTTTATGAAAGCCTTAAATAAAATCTATCCTCATACTTTTCTGCATTTCTCTTTTCTATCAACACCAGGAAGGAGCAGGGAGAGTCAACAACCAGGTATGTGATCGTTTCACTGGACTTTCACTGTTAGTGTGTGTTAGAAATGTGATGTAGAAACTCAGATGGGGGTTAGTCTGTGGACAAATCTACATAGCTAGATACTGCCCCATCACTAAGTCATATACTGCCATTTACGTCTAACTGTGACAACTACAGTAGAAAAGTCATTCGAAAAATTGTTTTTTTCAGTTAATTACATTGATTAAATTGTTTATCTTTAATTAGATATAAAACTAGCTTAGCAATTACTGATAACTACTGTTTTGTGCCTCACTGTGAGAAAAGGGCAAAAAAAATTACTTCTATTGTATTGTTCTGCAACATTAATACTATTATTTGGTCAGAATTTTTAGTCTTTGTTTAGCTTGCAGCTCATGTTGTTTCTTTCATGCTTATTCACACAGTAAGTTAACTGCAGCGTTTATTTGTTTTTTCTGTATTTATTAAAATACACATCAGTAAACGAGTATAACAGAATGCATTTTCTTATTTAGTTAGCCTATCAATGGATAAAGTCCTTTTAAACACAAGTTCTATTAGTGGGTTAGTGTTTTAAGCCCTTGCTCTATCTCTGGGCCCTATGAGCACCTACAGCAGCACCCTGCTTCACCACACTGCTGTGAGTCTGCCTCAGGGCAGCTGTAGCTACAATGTGGCTTACCATCTCCTGTGTGTGAATGTGTGCATGAATGAGTAAATGACTGGATGTAGTAAAAAGTGCTTTGGGGACCTGATAAAACAGTGTATAAGAGCCGGCCGTTGACCATTCAGCACTGCACATCATGATCAATACTGTAGATTTGGTATGCTGAATAAATATGAAGTTCCCATAGTTAAAAATTGGAGGCTGCTGCCTTTATTTTTTTTTATTTTCTGAGGAAATATACAAAAAAAATTTTATTTTATTTTTTAAAGTAACCTAACCACCTTTTTTGCAAATAAACTGCATAAATCAGTCCATCACAGTTCAATCTTTTTGTTACTGTGCCATTTCAAAAAATTTTTGTATAACATTGTTGAAAACCATCCTTATGCTGCCCTCTGAGTGTTTAAAAGTGGCTAGGGCAGTAAAATGTGTTCCCTATGGTTGGAATGGTGCATGTCTATGTCACAGCCCTAACCCTAAAGTTTTGGCTATAGTGGTGGTTACGATTAATCTTGGAAATTACAAGTGATTGCAGGTGATGTGTTCTCTTAGGTGATAACATTTTAGTTTTTAGATCCTACAATGTTCGGTAACAACCGAGACAATAACATACCATACCATAAAACCATCTCACTCCATTTTCAGGAGGTACCATTATCTATTAGTCAGTAGAGTGCTTTGATTAAGATATGTATAGGATTGGGTCATATCAAATTTACTGTCACCTTCTCTAATCCAAGCCACACTCCAGCTTAACCCCCTGGCACTGTCTGCACATGGCTGTGCACCTCTGTGTCTCTTGGCGCTGCCCATTTGGTGGCACATTTCTTCATTTGTCTGGGGTGGCGTTATACTGTACTTTCACATTGGGTTTTATTACGCTTTAAATGCATCTATCCATTTAGGAGGATATTTTTCCTTTTTTGTTTAAAAATAGTTTGAGTTACACATATTGAATACATTTATTATGAGTAAGAGTCCCAAATTCCATTGGACAAATAGTCTAATACAGGATTTCTGCATTGTGTGGCCTTGTGCAGGGCTCACCAATTTGGATCACAAAATGAATTGCAGAATTGCTTTCAAAAGTCACTTTCTTATGCAATAACTGTTCTTAATGGAGTAAAAATTCCTTTTTTTTGCAAAGGAACATATGGAGAATTTCATTGATCTCTCTGCAGTAAAAGTAGAGCAAAAAAGGGTTTTTTATACTGTGTTAACTGCATTGACACAGCAAAGCTGATCTAATCAGAGCAGCTTAAGGTAGGGGGTAATGATATTTAGCCCTGCTAAAAGCTGTTTTTACTCTGGCACTCCATGACTAATGCATCTGTTTGTTTAGTGCTCCTTTTTAAAAACAATAATACCAAAAAAACATTTTTTTTTTACCAGAAAAATATAATAAAACAAGAATGCACAAAAACGTATTGTTTCTTTAACATCCACCATCTTGCCTCAGGTAGTTGTTAAGTAGCTTTATAAGCCATTCTTCTTTGTCTGTTTTTATATAGCACAACTATCTCAAGGGTATATATTAATGGTGTTGATACATTTCCAGAATCATTATGGCAGGATAGCATTCGGGGCAGCAAGGCCAATGTGATGTAATATATTTTGTTTGCAGATACGAAACAGAGTAAATGTTTGTCTGTGAAGCACCACAGCAGCCCTTTTGTTGTAAATAATGTAAAAGTCATTAAATGGCCGGTTTAAAAGGCCTGAATATTACTGTGTGTATAATATGCTGAAACGTCGCTATGAATAGGTCTCAGGAGAGAGAAAAGAACCTCTCTGCACAGTGGGCTGCAGCTGTGCTACTTTATCTATAACATAGATTCAAAGACTAATATTTGCTTGGGAAAAAAATGCAGCAAAGGTAATTCATAAATGACAATAAAAACAAGGAAACAACAGTGAACTACAACACTCTGCTGAAAGGTTACTGGCTTCATGCTGCGATTCAGGCACTTGTTGCCATGGCCTGCTTGAATTCACATGGTTAAAGGAGGGATATTGACATGAAGTGCATGACTCATCAAATTGCAGGCTTTTTTTGGACGATTCTGCAGTAGATGTTCATTTTCCTCCACTAAGCCCCTGTTCTGCTGCCTCTGAAAGCCAGTTTTTCTGCAAACTTAAACATCCATTCTGACCTTGTTGTTTAGGCACATTCATGCATAATACTTTTTGGAGGGTTAATAGGTGCATCTTAAAAAAATTGAAAGTAAAAAGTATTTTAATTATTTAGCTCACAGAATTAAATTTCGTTGATGGCTTAAAAAAAAATGCAGCAAAGGTAATTCATAAATGACAATAAAAAAAAAAATAAAAAAAATGAATGATACATAAAACAATAAAAAAAAACTATTCTAAATACAAAGAAATACTTTGCCATAACTTACAAAATCATGATTATAACTTGATGGCGGTTTACTAGACATTTTCTGAACTTGCAAAAGTAGAAACTCTTTAAAGAGCTCTCAAGCATATTAATGGATTTTTTATTGGGAGGAAAACATGTTTGACAAGGGTACTTATTTACAAATTTTAAACTCACGCTTAAGTCAGTGCTTCAAGAGCTAACACACACACACACACACACACACATATCTAGGACATGGAGTAAGATGATTTTATTTGTTTAAGCCATTCTTAAATCATATCTTAGGTCATAAATACTATAATGGCGCTCTGACTTTTTGAAATGCATGAAACTCACTTTTTAAGTTAAATAATTAGGTAAAAACATTTATTGGATTCAAATTCACAGAGAAAAGACAGTAGGAATGGTAAAAAAGCTGAAAGTAGATTTTTTTTAACAATATAAGGTAAATATTTTCTTTCATCTCTTCCTGCATCAAGTAACGAATCATCATGTGTCTATTTCCCCTTGATTTTTAGTAAAATTCATAGTAATAAGCAGAAGCTACTGAGGAGATGTACGACTTGGAAACATAGGTACACCATGTTCTTTTTGAGAATGCTAACTAATTCTTGGTGCATGGGTGTCCGTTTAAGGCAGCCGGATAGGCCAGAGCAAGGTGGTTCTGCAGAAAGACATCAGCCCCCCGCCCCTTAAGTGAATAATCTGCTTTTAATTTGATATGTGCCTGAATGATGTGCTACTTTGCTTGATCTGTTATTAAGAATATTAAGAATTTTGCCAAGCTAATCCTCAGCTAAAAGTCAGTAAACCTATAACCATTTATGAGCCTTTTCTTGATTGAAATCTTGCTTTTTATGTTGTATTTTTCTTCAGTCATTTCTCTACTTGCCCCTAAACTAAAAACTATCACACTTGCTATTTCATTCATCTTAATTGTTTTTTCTTAACAATGATCACATGTAACTTCTGATGGTCCTATAATCCAATGAAAAAGATCAGAAGTCAAAATGGATAACTACAAGTTTCCTATGAATTAGCGTTTAAGTAGAACTAATCCTAACTAATTTGTGTATTCAGCCAAACGTAGTTTCTTCAAAGTGACCCAGTTTTCCAGATTTTCTTTTAAAGATTTTACTTTTTTGGGCTATATGTATTACTTTGTAGAAACAAAACATTAATGTTTTCAGTAAATTTGCTCAAAGTGCTTTTTTTTTTAAACAAAACGACTGTGTATGTGTTTAACTTATTGAAATTAGCCAGTTTATATTAGTCTTGCTTCAGTTTGCTGCCCTTGCTGCTGCACGCTGCCATTTTGCACTAAACACACTTCATCACACAAGACTTGTCTGCACTTATTTGTCCACCTTTCTCACAATTCACAGGTGAATTTAAATAATTGTGATTGAGAAACCATTGTATTTAAACATAACAGGCAATATTTTTAATAAACAGTTTAAATATCCCTAAAAAACTCTGACTAAATAAAGCAATTTTCAAATCTGTAACATGTTTTAATGTGATTTTAAGGAACCTACAAATAAAAAGTATCATGTTATTGTAAGGTGAAAGGAAAATAATGTCAGCCTTTTTTTATTTTA